AAAAATGTAATAAATTTCAATTTTGCCGAAAGACACATGAGAGACATATTTTTTTATTATAATTTTTTTTTTTTTGCAACCATTCACATGTCATTTAATACTCTAGCAAAGCTCGCATCCGTTCATTTTCCTCTTGAACGCGTTTTCATCCCTCGTTCCCAACCCCCAACGAACATGCACTAAATGGAAAAGTAGGTGAATGTAGGATTCATTGTTGAAATGTCATTTATTTGTTGCATTTTTTTGCTCCTTTTTTTTTTTATTCTTTTTGTAAATGAGTTGGAAATATCGTTAACAATTCGCAGGCTTATTTAGAACAAGGTTATAATTTTTTCAATTAATTCGTATTTAGTTGGAAAGCGAGAAAAATGAAACAGAATACAAAACGACGACAAAAGCTTTTCAAGGAAAGTTTCAATGTTCGCTTTAACGCATAAGTGTCGATTAAAAAAAAAAAAAAAAAAAAAAAACTCTTTCTTCTTCTACTTTTTTTCTAGAAAGTCTTTTCAGGTTATTGGACTACAAATGCGTTCACCTGAACTTACAAACGCACTTGCTGTAATGCCCTGATTTAGTGATGTATTCAAGAATAAGTGTACGATTTTTGTTTTTTTTTTTCTAATACAAGCATCAGTGATCCTTTTCTATTTTCCGATTGTGACCCGTATGCTTAGAATTCATGCATGATTTCCTTTCAAAGAACGTTTACCGTAATAAAATATTTCTTTTACTTTGATATCAACATGTCTACGCACACTTTGTGGTGGAAAATGAATAGGATTGAGAGCGACAATCATGTTGATGCGTTAATAAAAAATAAATAAGCAAACATCCACGTACATATCCGTCCGCGTCACTCATACGCAATGTTATTCACTGCAATTTAAACGTCGGCATTTGCATGAGGGGGAAAACGTTCAATGAAGTGAGCTTAACTTCACACACATCCACGCGATGCAGATAAACATGCAGATGCGCATTCATTACACCCGCGAACAGCAGATGGTTGTATATTTTGCGATGCTTTCGAACAAAACTAAACGGTTTTATAAAATTATATTTTCTCTATCCGTAAACTTTACACAAGTGCACAACTTATATCCCATTGACCACTCACATAACAGATGTTCCTTACACCAGCATAAACACGCCAATGGTGAGAGAGCAAGAACAAGATCACAAAGAGGTACAGCATGTGACCGCAGCCGGGAAGGTATAGCCCGATAAGTGAATGTGATGTCTTTACCGATCGAATATTCATTACAGCTGCTTCGAGCCCCTTATCTATTACACTAAGCGGCGCAGTCCGCAAGCTTTGCATAGATTGCATTATGTATCAAAAAATCCCGGCCAATACGGGAAACTTTTGCTACCTTAGTCGGGAAACTGTGCTGCTGAAAAATGCATGCGTTACGATGCGTAAAGCGCACACAATCGTAATAGAGACTTGGCGAACCATTCATGTTGACGATAAGACTGAATATTCATGGCGACTTGTTTTGAGAAGATTAAATGGATGCACAAACTAATCCAAATGAAAGGAACATAGCGGGATCGCTATCGATAAAAATTGATGCAGTCGAGCAATATGCCAGAAGTCATCATTATATCATCATTTTCTTGCATGAAAACATTCGATTCGACATTGCTAAAACTCGTCAAGGGAATGAACTGGAACGAACTACTTCCACGTTGTGTTCACCTTGCTTCCTTTAGTTAGCATTGCTTAGAATCTAACATTTTTCTGTCCGCCTTTCTTATGATGATTCGGTTTTGCCATAAAGAATTCATTATTTGCATGAAAATTTGAAGAAATGGCGACTAGCTGTAGACAATACTTTAAACGAAATATTCCCTTTATTACTTTTTTTTTTTTTTGTAACAAACCTTGCATTTTATTAAAAAGTCGGCAATAACTTAACTGCGATCCTAACCTTAGTAATGTCATTCCATTTATTTGCACCGAAGCCCTGCAAAAGTTCTACTTGCATAACTGTCCGCTGAGCAATTTTCCTCACTAAAATGAATCCATTTTTTATTTTGCACGAAAAAAACAAAGTTTACCGCAAGCAAAATATACGGTACAGTTAAGATAAGTGATCTCAAAACAACAGCGCTTGTGCATCAAAAGCTTTTCTCGTCACTGTACTAAAAATTTGAACGGAAGTTTCTTCGTGGTCTGATTCGCTCGTAACTACTGCAGGCGCATTCATAGCTCGCAATGCTTGCGTGTATATATTATTCACAATATATTAAATTCGGATTCCATTTAAAAATGCGTGCACCCTGAAAAAAAAATGCTGCGTTGCGTTGGTTGTGACTATCATAGATTCGAATTGAACCTACGAAAACTTTTCACTCTTTACTCATACGTTATACAAACGCAAAGACAGCATGTCGCATAGAGTTTTTAATTGAATGTATGTACATATCACAGCAGTCCTGTTCATTAATATTAATTGTGTTTCAATTATCAGCAAGAAATTGATTCCTTTAAAACGCGACTAATTTTATATAAAAAATCTATTTAATGCAAAGACGATATAACTTTATTTTGAAGCAAATTCTTTGCGCTCAGCTACAAGAAGAAGATAAAACCACTTTACCATTGAATACGAAGCATTCTATTATTAGATCATTAGCCTTAACCCAGAGTTTAGGAACTAGATGTCGCGGTCTCTTTGAAAAATGTGCACCTAAGTCGTGTCACAAAAATGAAGTGTACAAGTGTACGATAAGCTTAAAATAATACAAAATATTACCGCATTCCCATAACGAGTATACTCGTCAATAACAGTTAGTTGACTAAATTATTGCGAATTATTCTTCTTTCTTTCTTTCATATTTAGTTTTAACATTTCTTTCCATAAGTGGAAGAACACTGCAGACAAAATAAGCTATATTTCTTTTCTATAGCCGCCTGCCAAGATAAATACGGTGGATATTTTAGTGAGCTTAGTCGGTTCCCTTCCTAAGGATTTTTTTCCACCTTACAGCTCTTCAATGCATATGTGGTTTGTGCAAATGTCTGCAGCACCTAGAAGCACGCAAGAAAGACACGATTTTTCGTCTGATATCTCCTCACGCATTCTCAAATGGAACTCTATTCAACATGCTTTGGTCTAAGGGTGTAAACACTTTTTGAAAATTAATTGTATCGAAGCACTTTTACGACCGCTTGCCCTGCCCCATAACGCCTTATTTCGAAAAAGCCGCTATATGAAAAAACTTTGCCATTTTTCGAGAAAGGTCAGTGAAAGTGATATTTTTACCATAAAAAATGAATGTAGAAAATTTGGGTATGAAGAGACCTTTTTATAAACTTCCTTCCATACAAACGTTGTAGCATAATTAAGTCTTTTGAGAGCAATAATAGCTAGAATTGAATTGGAAACCCTCCACATGTAAGGAGTGTCGTCAAAAACTGATCTTCATACATTGGAAAGGCCAGAAAGAAGAGAGAAAAAAGAAAGAAGTAACGAGGTGGTGGTGGATGTGTGCCTAATCGATAAGTGTTGTGCCCTTACCGACTGAGTGCTTACTATAGCTACGACCAACGGGAACCCTACGACACATGAGATGTGAACCCGCGAACATTAACTTGATAGAGACGGTTTTTAGCTCCTCCGCTACTTAAGTGGAGAACTGCTTTAGAGGAATTAGTGTAAGATATTTGTAATCGTTATTGCCCAAGTAACCCTCTATCGTTTCTATTATGAAAACTGATTGAAAACAAAGACCTGATACATAGATCTGCTATGTTAAACAAGAAGCCCGATAATATATCTTGCGGACTCATTTATATTTCGGAAAAAGTAACCCTTTATATGAATGCCAACAGCGTCTAATCAAAAAAAGATTAATATTCTTTTCTATATTTTCCCATAAAGAGAAATAGGAGTTACCTATGAAATTTCAATCTAAACAGGACGAAAATCGAATAATTACATTATTTCACAATATTTATCCGACAGTGACTTTTGCAGAGCTATTTATTAGAACTAACAGTAGAGATTAAAAACGACCTACTACTCTTTCTGGGTACATTAACCCCCGACTAATTAAACATTCACTGCAACATATATACATACACGACTTGTTTATATCATCTGCGGATGTGTGCAACACCCGGAAGGACTTGAGATAGCCCCATCTTTTATTATACCGATCGATTAAGAATCACAATCAAAATCACTTCCTGAATCGATTTACGCTTAACTGTCCGTCATGAATTCTCGTGTTCAACTTACATAACGTATTTTTTAAGATACATTTGATGCAACGACTTGTTTTGACCGAAGATCGAAACCTGTTGAAAATACTTCGAATTGAACTGCACTTGTCGATCATTTCCCCTATAATGTGTCATTTTAAGAAGTACTTACATGAATAACTGTAGGGTATTTGATGACTGACCATGGCCCATTATAATATTTTCACTGGTATTTTTAGTCACAATTTTCGAATAATAGTGAAGATGATCTCCAATCCTTTGTATAACTAACTACATAATAACTAAAACTGTATCACGTGATTAAATATAAGAATAATCGTTCTTCGTGGCAAAATCCGTGGAAAAGAGCACAGATAATTTATAGATAGTTACACGCACTTCTACTGTAGATGTATTCACCACTCTTTTACGGGGTGGAATATTGAGATTTGTTATAATATTCGAAAATGGAGAAAGACTTGCACCGTGCACGACATAGCTGCCCTTATATTTGCTTGGAAATACTTTTGATTTTATATTTGATATTTAAAGCATTTAATTATCACCAACTTAAAATACGAGCTCGACGACAACCAATGACATAAACTTTGCTTTGTAGTTTTTGCCTTTCACATCAATCTATTATTTAATTATTTATAACATGCACCAGATGGAAATTAACTTAATTAAAAAAGGCTCCCATGAAAGGGATGATATCAAACAATTATTCATCCTTGCTTTTAATGGTAACATTTAAAAGAAGAGACATGTTTTCTACATTATTTGATGATTTCGAAACATCACATTCCAATTATACTTGGCTTGACAATTGCAACAACTTGACATATAAACCTCAAATTGTTTGTACCATTGGTTCAGTGTCAATTTTCAAATCAACATTGTCGATTGGTAGGGCTTCTGATGCTAGTGCTAATGCTAGAGCTTCTGCGACGGCATGAAATGCCAAGATTATATTAATACAACTGTAGGTGAATCAAGTATTCACGGTTGCCCGTACTTGGTTAAACACGCACTGCATTGGTTGGAGAAGATTTTCTGGGGTGTAATCATTATAGCAGCAGCCTATTGGTCCTTCAATATTTGCTACACTCAATGGGAACGTTTTCGCGATAATCCTATCATTTTAGCCACGGAGTTAACGTGGGGTAAACTCAATTATCCTTTTGTTGGCATAACATTGTGTTTCAATTACACTGATGAGGAGGCTATTGCACACGTTATCAAGGACACCTGGGCCGTTACACCAGAAGATCGAGATTCATATCAGTATTATTTCGAATTTTTAAAAACCATTAATCACCTTACCGTTGCTAAATTATCAACTCTAGAACCTTACAGAAATGATGATAAATTGAAAAACTTGGATTTTGTGCAAATTTTGTTGCAGGTGAATAGCGCAATAGAAACATTAGATAAGAGTAGAATTCAAATTGATTTGAAATCTTTTGCTTCTCAAGTTGAAAGGTAAAGGTCTGCCTAAGAGAGATACAAAAACTGTAGAAAAGAAAACAGATAAAAACGCACAAGGCGGTAATTCAGAGTATGGCGAGCCAGATTTTAGAGCTGCCATTACAGAGCTTGGTGTGTGTCAAACAACTTCGCAAACGGCGCGCTATACAAATCCATACAAAGGAGCGTAAGTTTTCTTGAAAAACCATAAAGCAATGAAACCGTAAGTAAATATACGCTTTCAGGGACAACATACAACTTCCTGCAAAATCTGAATGCAACCCTATAAGTGAATGCAATACAAAGATATTCAATAGAGTGGGCAGCAATGCCAGCATGAATGTCGTAAGTAATAAAAATGGTAAAAACTCGCATGACATCTTTCAGGAAAAGCGTCGTTCCGCGAACGTATTTTAACTCTAGGCCTTCGCCAGCTTTGCGGCATTCCAGGACGAGTTGCGGCGTCGACGACGTCTAATTCTTTCAACTTATCCTTACAAGCTAACAGCAAAAGGTCATTATCATGAAATTCGTGTCGTTGCTTCCGTTTCAATCTTTTTCGCATTTAGAGATATTTTAATCTCTCTACAGTTTCCACTTGCGACAACTTGTCTGAGATATTTCACGAAAGGCGCTGCTCAGCACGCTTAGTCTAACGCCCATCCTTCACCAGCTTTGTGGCATGATATATACGATGAATTCTTAAGGCAAAGACGTTACGAACTAAATACGAAGATTATTCCTTTCATTGAATGTTTATGCTCGATCCAAGTACTTGAAAAAGTGGTCCGGTACGAACTATTTTTAATAGCGTTCATCTAAAACACGTTGGCGTGCAAAATTTTATCAAAGTATCTCAAAATTGCAATCTGTTGGTTGAACATGACAATAAGAGACGGACAGACAGGTCGATCTTATAGAAGGTCGATCTATCTCAAAACAACCATTATTTCTGGACAACTATTATAGAAGTGGACAACCATTATTTCTGGACAACTATTATAGAAGTGGACAGAAAAAAAGAATCTTTTTTCTAGTAACTTATCTTTACAGTACATGCATAACAATTTCGATATTGTCACTCCTGGGGATCGCGACACCATTTTAAGCAGAGGCACAGACAATGGAGCACTAACGGTTGAATTGATGTTAGGTATAACCACAGCAGAAGGTGAAGTGCGTAAATTACCGATACCTTATCGGAAATGCCGTTATACAAATGAAAATAATTTAAAATACTTTCGGGTAATTCCAAGATTTAGATAAAAAAAAAAAACTCGAAATCTACGTTTAAAATTCACTCAGTCTTATAGTCCCGGGCTTTGTCGTACAGAATGCCGCGTTCATGCAGCTTTAGCAAAATGCGGTTGTAAGCCATTTTTTTATGCGGTAGGATCCAAAAAGAACGTTTGCGATGTTAATGGTATGCTATGTTTGGAGAAAGCTGGATGGCCTCAATCTGCCCACTGCAACTGTCTACCTCTATGTGAGGAAGTACGATATGTAGTTTCACAGAAACAGGCGGTAACCGATGTACGCTTCCACTACGAAGAAACAACTTTTTAAAATAATTTAGTAAATAAAGTAAAAATTTTTTCCTTTTTTTTTATTTTCCATTCACTTCACAGGATAGCACCAGATTTGAAAGCACTGTTATTGTTAAAGTACTTTTACCTCGAATGGGCTTTAAACGACGTGTGGTTTTCAGTGCTGATCAACTGATTGTTTCGTTTGGTGGTGCTATTGGCCTATTTCTAGGTGCCAGTTTTATAAGTGTTTATGGTTTAATATTCCCTCATTTTTATCACTTTAGTATTGTTGTTATTGTTGTTGAAGCATTTTTTAAACAATGATAAGATATTTGAAAAAATAAATTGGCAAAAGGTGAATATTAAAACTAAAAATAAGGAAAATGCAAATTTTAGACAACATTTTCTTTTTCTTTTATAATCGTTGATTCTCTTTTCACTTTAGAGCTTTTAATTTATCTCAAAATGCTGTCTACTTTTAAGCTTGTGCTTTAACAAAATAAACAAAGCATACATTTAAGAAAAGGATTGATTTTAAGTTTTAAGAAAAGCAAAGCACTAAGGTAAACTCAATTAAAATTTAATTATAGGAAAAATACACTTTCTTGGAATATCTTGCCGGCCATTTATGGCACAGACGAAGAAAATTAATTTCCGGCTCAGCAAGATGACATAGACAGAAGAGGAAACATGACAAAAGGCGGTAAGTGCAGTTTTTTAAGTCTGGTAGACCAATTAAGTGAAAAATTGTCAAACAAATGCAAAACTGGAAACCGAAAATAATATGAAACTTATTGGCGTGAGACAGAAGAACATTATATCCGCCTGAGGCCGAATATTGTATACTCAACAGCGTTTACTTACCATGCTGCGCGTCCTTTGATAAATTTGGCTGATATTCAGTACCGATCTGCGTGAAAGTGTATTTAATGTTTGTACCAAGAGGAGCGTTGACAACACCCATTACACATGGTCAGATTGATTCAGAATTTCACAGTAACCAAGAGTTTATACACTTTATAGGGGCTCTGAAACTTCCTTGCGTATGTTGCAACGACTATGACAAAGTGAATATCCCCTCGTTCAGGGGTGGGTGTAAAAAACATGTTGTAAAAATATCCTAAATATCCGTCGCCCAATGAAAAATAACTTTAATTAAGAATTTGTATGTTGTACGCTAGTTTACGGCTGACAACAATTCGAGTTTGCGTTCCATTAAAGCAAACTAGATGTAATAATATGAGAATCGCAACAAAAAAAAACCATGAAAATTTCTTCTGATTACAGTTGTACAGTACTTCACCTCACATGACTACAATAGAGGGCATCAGCAACCTAACTCACAACTTAGGCACCTTTACCATCACGGACGATGCAATGCAACCTATGTCCTGCAAAACTGTATTAGAAAAAAAAAGTAAAAGTATTATAGTTCATTACGGACCATTATTAAGTACACTATACCACTTCGCTTAATACTTGTATTCAGTATTAATGACTTGTTAAAATAAGCTCTTATGCGGGAAGTTCTCGAAAAAGTCATGCGACCCCGCCCATTTTCAATAGGGTTCGTCGTTGTAGCAAAGTCCAAGCCCGCCATGCCAAATTTCATGAAGATATCGAAAAATTTACGGCCTGTTGAGAGACAGATGGACAGACGGATAAGCAAGCTTAGATCGATGCAATAAAAGCTTGATCTTTTTCAAGCTCTTCTGCGTATTGTATACATGTCCACAAATTTAATACACCCTAGTATTACATGTAATGTAAAAATAGAAAATAAAAAACACTTAAAAACACTTTAGTGGGAACGGCCTGCCGTTAAATACCCTAGGCCAAGCTGCAGTTATCTCTTCTTATCGACTTTTCAAAATAAGAAGTTACATCGGAAATGGTCGAAAAAGAAGTCGGATCCAAACCGCTTCTCAACGGCTTTAGTCTTTGAACAATAACACAAGCTCAATATACCCTTGCACCGTTAGTGATGTACGGTACAATAAAAAATTAACAAATTTGCTTGGATCCATAGGGACATTTACAAATTTCTCACGATTTTGGATAAATGCTTAAACGATAAAGATACTAAAAGGGTTTTGTTTCGGTTGATAATAGCAATGATATGAAACACCACTATGCGGAAAAATGGAATGGAAAAATAAAAGAAGGATTCTCACCTCATAAAATCTGTTCGCAAACCTGACTTAATCTCTAAGCCTTGCAGAAGATAATCAATTAAGATAGGTGGACAATACCCATACCTTTTGCAAGCGATTTTTGTTTTTTAAACTTTTTCTTGATTCAGCCGGATCGCGGAGCATTGAAGGAAAATGAAAAAGGAAAAACGATTTGTGCAGTGAAGAACTTAAGTGAGCTTATAAATGCCTAGAAGACATCTTTAGGCGAAAACATTTCATTTTATGTTTTTATGGTATATAACACATTTAATTCTCGATTATTTAAAACACTAGGTCGACGACAACCAACGACTTGCATTTCATTGAAACTAAAGTGTAGGAAAAGTACATGTGATAAAATTTTGTGTGTAGTTTTTTGTCTTTCGTGTCAGTTATTTAAAGCCAACAATTATTCATCGTTGTTTTTAATGGTAATATTTAAAAGAAGAGACATGTTTTCTACATTATTTGATGATTGCGAAACATCACATTCCAATTATATTTGGCTTGTCAACAACAGCAACAACACCAACGTGGCGTATAAACATCAAATTGTTTGGTCCTTCGATTCAGTGTCAATTTTCAAATCACTATAGCCTATTGCTAGCGCTTCTTCGGCGGCATGAAATGCCAAGATTATATTAATACAACTGTAAATGAATCAAGTATTCACGGTTGCCCGTACTTGGTGAAACACGCATTGCATTGGTTGGAGAAGATTTTCTGGGGTGTAACCATTATAGCAGCAGCCTATTGGTCCTTCAATATTTGCTACAGTCAATGGGAACGTTTTCGCGATAATCCTATCATTTTAGCCACAGAGTTAACGTGGGGTAAACTCAATTATCCTTTTGTTGGCATAACATTGTGTTTCAATTACACTGATGAGGAGGCTATTGCACACGTTATCAAGGACACCTGGGCCGTTACACCAGAAGATCGAGATTCATATCAGTATTATTTCGAATTTTTAAAAACCATTAATCACCTTACCGTTGCTAAATTATCAACTCTAGAACCTTACAGAAATGATGATAAATTGAAAAACTTGGATTTTGTGCAAATTTTGTTGCAGGTGAATAGCGCAATATAAACATTAGATAAGAGTAGAATTCAAATTGATTTGAAATCTTTTGCTTCTCAAGTTGAAAGGTAAAGGTCTGCCTAAGAGAGAGACAAAAACTGTAGAAAAGAAAACAGATAAAAACGCACAAGGCGGTAATTCAGAGTATGGCGAGCCAGATTTTAGAGCTGCCATTACAGAGCTTGGTATGTGTCAAACAACTTCGCAAACGGCGCGCTATACAAATCCATACAAAGGAGCGTAAGTTTTCTTGAAAAACCATAAAGCAATGAAACCGTAAGTAAATATACGCTTTCAGGGATAACATACAACTTCCTGCAAAATCTGAATGCAACCCTATGAGTGAATGCAATTCAAAAATTTTCAATAGAGTGGGCGGCAACGCTAGCATGAATGTAGTAAGTAATAAAAGAGACCAAAAATTGTATATCTTTCAGGAAAGGCGTCGCTCCGTGAACTAATTTTAACTCCGCTCTTTCGCAACGCTTTACGTTCGTAAAATTTGATTGCGAAAAAGATTATTGCTGTCTCTGAATGACTACGCTCGATTGCTTTTACCCAAGTTTATTGGTGGAAATAAAACATTACGGTGGGCCCCATACCACTTCGGTTATAGCAATTTTTCAAAATAAGACGTTATACGGAAAATAGTCGAAAAAGTGGTCCGATCCGGTCCATTTCCAACATCATGTACAAACAAATTATCTCAAAAAGTGCAACGTATGTGTTGAACACAAATCGGGCAGACGGATATATGGACGGACAAGGTTCGATCGGTATAAAAAAGACGGCCGTGGCTCAAGTGCTCGCCGATATTGGCTGTTTCCGCAAAAACTTAATATACACTTGTACTGCAAATCATGTAATGGTATAAAAATTTCAATACTCAACAAACCAGAAAGAAAAAATGCCTGAATCGATACCAATCAAAATTCTCGACAACCATTATGGAAATGATGCAAAATAGATCATTTTTTTTAGTAGTATTTTTCTTGATAGTAATTATATCTTTGCAGTATATGCATAGTAATTTTGATATTATCACTCCTGGAGATCGCGACACCATTTTAAGTGGAGGCACAGACAATGGAGCACTAACGGTTGAATTGATGTTAGGTATAACCACAGCAGAAGCTGAAGTGCATAAATTACCGATAGCTTATCGAAAATGCCGTTATATAAATGAAAATAAGTTACATTACTCTCAGGTAATTCCAAGAATTATATAAAAAAAAAAAAAAAATCAAAATCTATGATTAACGTTCGTTCAGTCTTATAGCCCCGGCCTTTGTCGTACGGAATGCCGGATTCGTGCAGCCTTAGCAAAATGCGGTTGCAAGCCATACTTCTACGCGATCGGACCCAAAAAGAGCATTTGCGATATTAAAGGTATGCTATGTTTGGAGAAAGCTCAGTGGCCCGAATCGGCTCACTGCAACTGTCTACCTCTATGTGAGGAGATACGATATGTAGTTTCACAGGCACAAGCGGTAACCAAAGTAAGCTTACACAATGAAAGCAAAAGTTGCTAAAATAGTGATAATTTTGTCAAATTTTTGTAATTCTTTCCACAGTCAACCGAAAAATTTGAAAGCACTATTATCGTTAAAGTGCTTTTGCCGCGAATGGGTCTTAAACGACGTGTAGTGTTTAGTGCTGATCAATTGATTGTTTCGTTTGGCGGCGCTGTTGGCCTATTTTTAGGTGCCAGTTTTATAAGTGTTTATGGTTTAGTATTCACCTTTAGCCAATTTATTTTTTCAAATACCTTATCATTATTTAAAAAATACTTTAACAAGAACAAACATAGTAACGTGATAAAAGTGAGGGAATATTGAAAAAAAAAAAAAAATCGATATTTTCGAAAACATTTTCTTTTTATTTAACAACTTTTATTTTATCTCAAAATATTGCCTACTTTCAAGGGTATTTTAACTACATAAAGAAAGCATAAATTTGAGAAAAGGATTTTAAATTTCAATAAAAGAAAAACCTTACGGCAAACTACGCAAAATTTAATTAAAGGAAAAATACACTTTGTTGTAATACATTATCGTCCATTTATGGCACAGAGAGAGAAAATTAATTCCCTTTCTAATATGTTGGCTAAGGAAAAAGGCATACTCTACAATGGAGGTAACATGACCAAGGGTGGTAAGTGCGGCGTTTAAGTCTGGCAAGCCAATTAACTGAAAAATTGTCAAAGAAACGTAAAACTGGAAACGAAAAAGAATGTAAAAATTGTTGACGTGAGACAGTATAGTATGACAAAAAGAAAACAAAATACTTTAAAAAATACTTAAATTTCCATCACCTAAAAATAAATTTCTCCAATTAGTAGAATTTAGACCTTTACATTTAACTTTAAGGTTGGCAGCAATTCTAATTTGCTATCCCGTAAAAGAAAGTCAAAGTAATCGTATGAGAACCTAAACAAAAAATAACAACGAAAATTCGCTCTGGCCACAAGATATTATAATACTTTACATCCGCCTAAGTGGCCGAGTAGACAAGAGTCTCGACTAGCAACTCAATGGTCACGGGTTCAATTCTCAAGTGCGGTAGGATTTTAATAAAGCCGAAAACCTTTGATGCTAGTGCTTTAAGGCTTTAGTCTTAGAATTTATTCTCTGGACAAATTTTGAATAACAATAATAATATAATACTTTATTTCGCTTGATGAGAAGCTGTAGTGCAATAAGAGATATTACAATAAAAAGTATAAACAGTGCAGTGGCTCGCAGCGCATCATTGCATACCTTATATCACCCTATAGTTTGAAATTAATTATGTTCGATAGATATAATAAAAGATGGTTGTATCTCAAGTTCTTCGGGGTGTTACATACGTCTGCACAAGCTTAATATACTCTTTTCCACACCACAAATTGTATAGAATATAATAAAAAATCCAAAAATTCTTATCGATATGTGCAAAATTACTCATAATTTAAGATAGATGGTTAAATGATTAAAGCAATTATATGATTTTTCTCGGTTGATAATGGCATTGATATGAAAACTAAGATGCGGAAAAGTGGAATCGAAAAGTGAAAACCGCAATTAAATACTTTGTGTTTCTTGGTATCAAGAATTCTAAACTCATAAAATGTGTTTACAAGCATTGCGGTATATTAAAATTTTAATTACACAGATCACGTTTAAACAGAAGGCGTAACTTACGCTATAGTTAAGAAATCTTATAAATTTTCATTAACACCTTACATTGCATTTGTAAAGTGAAAGTTTATAATCACACCTCTTGGAATTATAGAGAAAATATCTTCAGATTTCTTAATAGAATCCCTATGACGTCATCACAATCTTCCTATACTCGAATGAGTATTCAAGATTGGTTCTTAAGCAAATATAGAATTAGAAAAATAGCATAGTTTCATCTGTAATCATCGACAAAAAAAATCAAATAAAAGTTTACTTATAAAAGTAAAGCTTATATATAAAGATAATGACATTTTAATGTTCACTTGAATTTCACTTTTTTAGGAAAGAAAAAACCGTTTTTAAAATGCTCTTTTTTTTTTTTTGCTTTCAGAAACAAAAATGCGGTTAATAGTTTGTTTTTACACTGAGGAAATTATCGTTAAAAAAATGCAGTACATGGATTCTCACGGAAATTATCAAGTTTTAATAATGACATTAAAGAGAGGGAGGGAGAATGATTATGTGAAAAAAGGAAATACATTCATACTCAAAGGTTCTTATTCATAATGTATAAAGGCAGAGAGATAATTTAATATTTGGTTCACAAAATTTGCGCCTAAAACTATGTAATAAATGCTCTTTTGAGGTGATGTGTCGTTTGCTTTTTGAGATTACGTTATTATGTTATTCTTATAATTTTCTCGTTTCGGCATCTCAATGTATGCGATTTTATTATAGAGTAATATAGTTTTTACAATACTTGCAATATTATCAAATTTATAACAAGAACTCTCATGCGATCAGGACATACGCCATCAGCGTTTAATATGAAAGGGTAAATATGAAATAAAAAGTCGCATGAAATAAATTCGGAAATAGCGTACATAGTATGTTAATGAACTCATGTTAAGATAACATCATGCGAAATGTCAGAAGAGCATGACAACTGTAAAAGAGAAGGTAACGTCATCGTTTTTATATATCACTATGGAAATTTTACAACAAAGCGAAAGAATCAACATTTCTAATTCTTCTTGGTCTAAGACAGCGTGCGAAGAAATACAGATAAATAAGAGAAACGGGACGGGGAAGCATAGCACCTCTACGCGACATAATATTTACGAATGTACATCCTATGGGAGAACTTTAAGGCAAAATAAATATGATATCAAGACAAAGACGTCACAGACTCAAACCACAATGCACAAGACTTTACATTGATGAGAATTTTCACGAACTAACTATTTGCAATTTGTATTTACGTCATACGCATATCAATTGAATTTCAAAATTTACGCTGACAAAACGGTAGCTAAGATGTTGAAGACATCTTTCATTTTATTTTGAAAGCGTTGAAGAAATCCATACTTTATATCTTCTATTATCCATCATTATGTACAGACTAAAGGGCTAAAAGAAGACATTTAAACAATTATGAGAATTTAATAAAGAAGTTTTTATGATTTATATATAAAAATTTTTTTAACTGTCTCTGCGGTAAATAATTGCTTAACCATGCAATTTATGAGCAACAACATAATTTAAGTTAACAGCCATTTTTTATGCCAGTTTTCCTCTTTTTTCTTTTTTCTAGTGATAAACGTGAGTTTTATAGCTGCCGCGAAGAAAAATTTCACAAAATTTTTAAATGATTTTTCTAATGTCATTGGTTTCGATTCAAATAAAATATTGCTATGCATTAAAGGCGACGGCGTAACGAAAACGAACACTTTTTCTTAAGTATTTGATTTTTCTCTTAATTTATTTTTATTTTCTTAAAAAAGCGAAACAAAATTGACAGAATAAAAATCAATAAAAGCAAAAAATAAGTAGAAAAATTTTTAATTGGTTGTAGCCGAATCTTAAATATGATATTCAGCCATTTCGAAAGAAAAGACTTTTTAATTAATATAAACAAGGGGGCGTGTAAGCGACGTAACGTAAGAAGACATACCATAAAAGTGCTTTGCAATTTTCTAGAGTATGGCTATCAAAATGAACAGAACGATCTTATGTTTAGCAAGGGGGAAAATCAATATTTTCTTCAACGATTTAGGTGTGCTAGCTGATCTCTCTGAAACATGTGCATCTAAATTGTTTCGCCAAGGTTGACTATACGACGTATACGACGAGTATACGACGAGTATACTCATAATATGCTAATAATATCACAAAATCTATGGCAAACTTTTCCAAGCATATTCGTCGATGACAGCCAACTAATTAATACAAAACTCTACACTTTACAGGATCTCGCTTATACGACCAGCAGAAATTTAAAAATAAATGTTACAAATGAAACTTAAGCTTAAGTAAACTTTACTTATCAGCTTTCAGTATTCATTACAATAAATAAGTAAACAATAAGCAGCAGCAACGATAATTTAAAGTTTTAGTCTTGCTTTGCTTGACATTTTGCTTGACGGTTTTTTTTTTTTTTTTTTTTTTGTATGTGTTGCTAGAAGTTAGAATGTTAGCATTTCTGAAATGTCATTTAAAGTACTAAAGAGAAAACAAGCCCAAAATTCATAAAGTTTAACAAAAATTAAATAATAGATAAGTGACTGTTACAATGTACATGAAGGAGAACAAAGAAGGCAAAAAAATAATTAGTGGACAGTTAAACTACACGTTACTCCATCGCCTCAATCATCTAATATATGTAAAACTGTTTTTTTTTTTACAATGAAATTTGCGTCATTTAGATTCTAGGTCGTAGAAAGCCTTAAATTGAAGTTGCCTCGCTAGAATGGCTCCGGAGTTACCTGTGATCTTTACGCTACATGCAAAACACAGCCACTGTCGGAAAGAAGTGGAGAATGGAAATAAGACAGGCAATCGATTGAATGTATAGCCAATCAGTAAGCGCCACTAACTATAACTATGACCGAAGCAAATTTTACCGTACTTGAGATTTGAAGCCGCGAACACTGATTTGTTAGTTGCCTTTTCTTAATATGATCAATCCATGTTCGCTATGCGTATAACAAGATGACTGCCGGAAAGAAATGGAAAAAGAGAAAGAGATAGACAGATGGTCTAAGCTCAGTGGACGCGTATCCGATCGGTAAATGCCGTGCCTTTACTAGCTGAGCACTCGCTATAACTACGACTGATGTCAACTCTAACACTTAGGAGGCGCGATCCTGACCTGCTCGGTTACGCGTACAGAATGAATTGCCGATATGTTTATCTAAAAACCTTGTACTAAAATGGTTTATCCGCAGTAAGAGTTACTTTGTCCACCGATTGCCTAAACGTTATAGTTACCAAAGGCTTACATAACACTTTTGCATGCTGATATGCTTAACTCTAATGTGCAAATCATCTTCGGAAAATTCGCTTTGTCCCAAGAATATGTGACCCGTATCTTCTGACAAGGGGAGGGGTGGCAAAAGTACACCCCAATGACATCGTCAATACGAAAGCCGCAATAAGTGCTTAATCAGCTGTATATACTTTGCAAGCTTAATCAAAAAAGGGAGTTTCGTTTAGCAATGAAGCCACTGAACAAAAAGTATTTTTACAATGAAAATCGCTAGTCTTTGCGAGAAATATAATACAGATTGGTCAAGAATGCGGCCAGTTCGCAAGAAGGGAAACATAAGGTCAAATCCGTGGCATTGCAAAACCCTTCACGCCGCATTCTGTGCATTTCTTTCCCCAAGCGTTTAAGATGATTCGAATTTCTTTTTA